TAATCCAGTAAGTTAACGTGTTTTGAGGACTCACTTAACTATTTGGCTACACTTTGGCTACATTTTTTTTTAAAATTCTGATCCACTCAAGGCTACAAGCAAGCACTATTAAGTTGAGAGTTATAGAGCAAGGAAACAGTTGACGGAAGACTAAAAAAGTTGAGTCAGAAAAACAAGAAAACTGGAGAAAATTTGAATAACTGATGGGGCACTTGTCAAGGGGAGCAAAAAACCATCCCAAATAAAAGAAATTCCAAATAACCCGAATAATTGATGGATATTTACATGAGTTTGATAATGAAAGTCATGTGAAATGAAAATTGCTTTGAACAAGCGGGAAATTCAAATAAATACCAGTTCAAACAACCAAGAGTTGAGTGTTATAAACAACCCAACAAAAAAAATCTGCTATACCAATATAAAATTTAAATAAGAAAAGAGAAAAACTAAAAATAATTCTGAAAACTTTGTTGAAAAACTTAATAAATATTCTTTCTTATTATTTTTTTCCACATATATCTTCATTACCCTAAAGCAAAATTAAAAAAAATTTTTTTTAAAAACTTCTGCAACTAAAAATTCTTGGTTAAATTATTAGAAAAAATTCTTAGACTTGTAAAAACAAGTCTTCTTATTATACCTTGATACATTTTTTTATTCTTATTTGAATTCACCTCCTCAAGGCCACAAAGGCCACTACAGTCGAGGAGGCTGCTTTAGTTGTGCTTACAACCCTCTTTTAATTATACAATTCTGAAATAAGAACCTTGACAAACAAGGCCGCTGCGCAGAGAAACAAGTTGAGTACTACCAGGGTTGTGGTTGGGATTGAACTTAGAGCTTCTCGCTTATGAGGCGAGCGCTTTGCCACTGCACCACTACTGCATTAGTAAATATAAGTTTTAAGTTTATTTTTATTTTATTTAGTTTAATGTCTTTAGTTCAATGTTACTGCAAAAGTTCACTCAAAAGTAATTGCAAAAAAATATATATACCTGCATTTTTTTCCGCTTCCACACCAATGATGTGCGTTCATAATGATCAAAAATAAGAATTATAGGAGCCAGATACCTGAAATGAAAATTTTAATATTTTTATAGAAGCCTGAAATGAAAATATATTTTTCATCTAGAGAAGATTAACTTCTTAAAACATTTTAAATTTAAAAATTTATTTAAAAATTTTTATTTAAATATTTTAATTAAAATATTTAAATAAAAACTTTAAATTTATGAAAAATTTATAAAATTATTATTTTTATGATTTAATATTAAAAAAATTTATAAAAAATTTAAAAAAATTTATAACTATTACCCTGGTATAAAAGATGAAAATTTAGATTTATTTAACTCCGTAATTGTTTCCATTGTGCGTTTAAATAAGTTAAGAATGTCATAAATCCATGTTTGAAAAGTAAGTGCAGCTTGATTTTCATGATTCTAAATATAATAATTTTTAATAGCATCAGTTGAAAAATATTTTTTAAATATTGATTTTATTTAAAAAAGTAAATTGATTTTTTCCTACCTGAGATAAAAGAAGGAACAAATGCAACCTTCGTGTTAATTTTTCTGTACAAGCACCACCACAAATTAGTTCTTTAAGTTTCTGATTCATTTCAGTATTACCAGCTTTGATTTCTTTTAGCATGGATTCTATATGTGTAGTAATATATACTGCAGAAGTTGTTATGTCTTCTGATATACTGACCAACATGTTTGACTTCCATTCATTTTTATTGCGTCTAGATGCAACAACTAGAAGTTTGCAAACACTATGCACTGCTTTTGGTTGCGTATCAAGTAGCTCCATACATCCTTCTAGAAGTCTATCAGTGCAATTATCAATGAGTTTACTTATCTCAGCTAGTTGATCAGTGGATATTTTTTTATCTTCGATTGTTATGCTATCAGAAACTGGTAGCTTTTTATCCTTTCAGAGATAAAAAGGTTAGTTAAAACTAAACAATATAATATATTAATAAATTTAAAAAAGTAATAAATTAAATATTAATTTAATCTTTTCATACCAATGATGGTAACTCAACCTCTTGACCTAGGGACATTGCAATAGCTTGCAACATCATATCTTCTTCAGAAGTATCAACCTCCATAACCTAAAAATTAAAATATTTTATAACAAGAAAATTAGATAATAGAACAAGAAAATTAGAACAATGCAATAGATTGTGACATATCTTGTTAAGAAGAATTAACCTTGATAACTAAAACATTTAAAACTTTAGAACAAAAAAACTAGAATAAGTTGAAAAAGCATAAAAAACCATGATAATTAACAGACATTAGATGATGCAGCACGTAGTCTTGAAGATCCTGAAGGCATTGTCAATAAAAGTTCAGTTGCAGCTTGAAAATTGCCATGACATGTTATTAAAGCTTCTCTAGCATGTTCTTGTAGAAAACCCATATCAACAAACTAGATTAAAGATTAAATCACTAAGAATAACCATTAATAATGTAAGATTATTTATTAAAAAGTAGAATTAGAGAGTATCAAATATGTAATGGTAAAAAGGTTTTTTAAAGTAGATCCTTTAGTTTTTATATTTTGTAAAATTTGTTTACATTCATTTAATTGTGCTCAAATTCCATTTAAACTCCACTTTTATGTTTTGAACTGATTTCTATAATGCTAATTTTTCTTTAAATATGACACAATGAAATAATTTAAAGACTTTCACAAATTTTAATTTTTAAATATTTTTATTGTGATAGAAAGAGTTGATACTAACTGAAGGCAAGTAACTAGGCTTACAAGCCTCACTTGCCTCAGATCAGTTCGATTGCCTCAGATTACAAAGACTAAGATTATCACTAAAGGTAAGCTAAGAAGTCTTACTAGTCCCAATATAATTTCAGTTCAAACTCACATGCCCCAATATAGGATTGCCTTGACCAGGACAATGATAAAACACGAACACGAGGTCTGCAATTTTTTGCAGACCTTGTGTTAACGTATCTCCTAAATGTCTTTGACCTCAAAGACATTTAGGAGATCTTAATTTTGAGGGTTGTAATGCACACAATACTTGTGCAAGTTATGATAATAGGCTAATTAAGTTAACTTTAACTAACTTTTTAATTTTTCATTAAATTTTTAGTTTAAATTTTTTCATCAAGTTTTTTCTGATATATAATCCATTAATAATGGCTGACATTTGACTTGTGTTAAACAAGCCATATATTAAAAAAGTCAAGTGTTAAACTAAATAAAACCTGCTGTAAATGCTCCTCACTGACTTGCTCAATGCGAGACGGAGTTGGAGTCTTCTGTATATCTATTGCACTGCTCTTTTTTTGTTTGCTATCTTTTGGTTTAACTTTTAAAGCAAATGTTTCTTTTAAGATGACTTCTCCACTGATTATATGACACATAATACTTACGATGCGGTCTGCTATTGAATGATTATCTGAGCAAGCATAGGTTTTACGCTCCCAAAGCAACAAAACTGATTTGAAAGCCAACTATAATTGAATATTTATCTTTAACAAATAATTTTATATTTTAATTGACAACCAATAAAATATTTTATCATGTCAACCCTTACACACTGTAACTAAAAATATAATTATTACACTATTTTAGATTAAATAAAACTATCAAATAAATTTTAATTTAAAAACATTAAATACTGTAACTGAATTTATTTTAAAAAAAAAGTTACTATGTGAATCTTAGCAAGAAAATTTGCTGCATCAAATGGAGTAAAACCAGGAAGGGATGATGTAGTTGGCAAACCATAATTTGATTCCAAAACTGACTTTGTATTTACTAATCGATTAATCAAGTCTAACCAACCTTCAAGAAATTCACTTAGGCCCACTTAAAAGAAAAATAAACTTTATATAAGATTATGGTAATCATTATTTCACAATCATAACCATCATTATGATCATGATCATTAAAAAAATATTATTGAAGTGTTCTAATAGCAAAATTTGAAATTATACCTATCTTCTTTAAATTATCACAATCATTCAGATATTCATCTACAACCCAGTTAAAAAGACTACAAACAAAAAATGTAAACTCTTTTATAAAATGTAAAAGCAACTTGAATAAAAGTTTGAATTATAGAAAATTTAATTTATAAAAAAAAAAAATTTAAAATGATTTATGAACAGCTACATATTAGTCATACTCAAAAAGTGCTTCTAATCCGCCATCTTTTTCTAACTGCTGCAACATAAGATGATAAGGATTTTTTCCAGAATCAAATAAAGCTACTGACCAAATTCCAATACAGCATACATAATATGTCAAGCTAAAGTTAATTTGTACAAAAAAAAAAAATAATAATAATAATAATAACAATAATTTCACAAAAATTACAGTATATTTTAGATCACTAAACAAAATACTAAAATAAAAAAGGAAAGTATATAAATATTTCAATACTGAAAATAGCAAGTAAATTACAACCATTACTGGAATATATTTAAAAAGGGTCAAAATAAAATGTTAAATCTCTAACAAATCCCTGGTACCGCCATACTTAATTTGTTTACCTGTTTAGTGGCCTTAGTTGTTCAGGTTTGTTGAGGCTCAGTTTTGTTGAGGCTCAGGTTTGGTGATACAATTTTGTTGTATACAAAATTTTTTAAATTATTTTGTTAAATATATATTATTTGGATATCAATATATATTAATATCAAACTTTAAATATTGATATCAAACTTTATTATACAAGTAAAAAATATAAAAAAGATATAGAAGCTGTAATACAGCTTCTATATTTTTTTTATTTGCTAATATAAGAAAAAAAAATCAGAAAAGCTAGATTCTAATAACGCATTTTTATCTCTACAAAAGTAGGTACCAACAACTCTTTGCAGCAAATAGAGTCAAAATGATGATATATTGAAAAAATTATTATTATTTTGAAGTCATCACAATACAATATTATCTCTGATAAACCCTGTAATTCTCATAATTGGAATTGCCATAAACTGGTTAATGTTATGATCAAGACAAAGCAACCATGGAAACATACTTTAAAATCACTTGCAAATAAAAATCATTACAAAGCCAACAATAGCTGTAATGCTTATGAAAACTTTATACCACCATTCATAGTAAACAAAGCAAAATAAAAATTTACGCTTCAATGACCTTAAAGTAATCCAACTGACACTAAAAATTTTATTTCGAATTATCGTAAGATGGAGCATGATACATTAAAATAGACTTAAAGTAAGTGTAAATATCAGAATGAAATTGTTTTAAAATAAAATTAATAAAATTAATTTTAAATTCTGTTTAATTTTAAAACTAAATTAAACAGAATTTAAAATTAAAATTATATATGCATATAATAACATAATATTTTCATTTATCTTAAATTATTCAACTATTGGACAGATTATTTCTCAAGTTAAACAAGTGTGGAAGTGTATTACAAAGTATTATAAAAAAATAAAATGAAAAAACATAAGTAAAATTCTCATCTGTTCCTCATTTTACTAAAGAACAAGCATCACTTTAACAAGCATTAATCTCAGAAACATTTTATCGGCTAGTGTCATTAACCCCATTGACCATTATTTTCTGAACCAGAAACAATTCATAAAAAAATGAAGGGAAAAAATAAATAAATCCATTTTAAAAAAAATCTGAGTAATTAAATATTCAAAAAGTTGAAGAAGAATTTTTTTACTATAGAAGTTAGTAAATAAATTGCAGAACATATTTTTTCTGCAACACTTAATTATTTTAAAAGAAGAAAAGCAACTGAAGGCTGATTGCACTCTCATTCTCAATCTAAAAAAAATAATGAAGCTGAGAATGAAGAACAATTTTCAACAACTGCAGTTAATGAAAGTAAAGTTGTTAAATGCAGAAAGTGTGGTAAAGAATAACATTTAGACATTATTTCATGCATAAATCCAAATTGCAACATTTGACGATGCAACAAATCATATTTACTAAAGCCATTTCCTTTTGTCATTCGAATACAAACAATTTTTAAAATCGAAACAGAAACAGCCATTAATAAATTAAAAACTCTAAAATATTTTACCGTAATCTTGGGATGTTGATGTTAATTGGACACTCCCATTTTAGGCAACGCACCATAGAAGATGTTAATTGATAAGTAACCATGCGTGCAGGAACACTTGGCTGTGATGGTTGTGAAAATGTATGTCTTAATCTTGGGCCTTGGGCGCCAACACACTGGTGAACTAGCAAACCAAACAATTCTGCTAAAGCACGACCAAGATGGGAAGAAGATAAGAGCAGCCATTTTAACAATGTCAGATTAGAGGTATTAGCACAGTCAGTTTGAGCTAAAGCAAAAAAGTCAAAAACTAAAAAAAAGTTATGATAAAACTGAGAAGTAACACAACAACTAAAATAAAATAAAAATCATAAAATAAACTATAAGAAACATAATAATATAAACAATCATAAAAAAATTGCACAAAACATTAAAAAAATGTTTTGTGTTATTCAAATTATTTATTAAAAAAAATAAATAATTGAATACACACAATATGTTTTTAAATTATGTTTTATTCAAACCATTATTCTTTGGCATGTTTGCATTTAACTAACCAACCTTCAAAAAATTCACTTAGGCCCACTTAAAATAAAAATAAACTTTATATAAGATTATGGTGATCATTATTTCACGATCATAATCATCATTATGATCATGATCATTAAAAAAATATTATTGAAGTGTTCTGATAGTTAGCAAAATTTGAAAATATACCTATCTTCTTTAAGTTATCACAATCATTCAGATCTTTATACTAACTTTCAGTTTTAAAGTGCAAATAATTTTGTATAAAAATGTAGGGACTTTTTTTTTAGGTCAATTTGAGTCCTAAGATAATCAAAATTGATCTTAAGTTCAAATAAAATTTATAGGTTTTTTTTCAATTTTTTTAATTCTTCACACACAAAACTGCATACTTTTTATAAATTAACAAAAAGTTATGTGACTTATCTAAGACTGTATACATATCTATCAGGTGTAGAAAAACATATCTATCAGATATAGAAAAATATTAAAAAGGCTACCTGGATCAACTTGCTTTTCTTTTAACTTATTCAGGTCCTGGGCAGCAAATGACAAGTCTTCTTCAGAATTATTATTTGGTGTACATAAAATTAAAAGCATACTACTCTCCCAAACAAGCTTAGCATAAAGGTCTGTTAGCTTTTTAAGCACACATTGACCAAGATCTGAACCCCATTGTGAAATAGACATATTTCGAATATCAGCCTAAATTTAAAAACAAAATAAAAACTAACTCATTTCATTACACAGAAAAAAAACATTTATAACTTCAGTTCTATAGTGTTAATAAGGTAAAACTAATACTAAATACATCGAAAAATTTTATGACCCGGAGATAATCCACTACAGTTGAGTGGTAGCCTTCCTAAGAAAGAACTTTAACCAGTTGCAATTGATAATTGCAAGTTAACTACACTAATCTATAGGAATCCATATATATATATATATATATATATATATATATATATATATATATATATATATATATATATATATATATATATATATATATATATGGATTTGTGTAGATATGTAAAATCTATAAATATTAATGCAATCAAACAAAAATATCTCAAAGTTAGGATTAATGAGGCGTTAGAGGAGGCAAAAATAGGAGTAACCATCAATAACTTGACAAAAATTACTAGTAAAAGTTGTTGAAATGATCAAAATTACATCAACAGAGGTCATAACCTAAATCATACAGCAGCATGACTAAGAGATCAATGATCTTAGAGACCAAATCAGTGGAGCAATCATTAAAGCAACAAGAGCAACAAATTATTTTTATCTCAATATAGCAAAACAAAACACTTATGTTAACCTGGCAGCAACTAAAATAAAAATTAGAAAAGAGAGAGTTGAATATAGTACTTGCAGAATTTAAGAGTCTAAAAATAGAAATAATGTAAAAGAGTTTTTTTCAAGCAACACAATGATCGCAAAAAGTGACCAATGGAGCCACCCAGTTACGTAGACCTGGGAGATACAAAGTAAACTATGAGGAAATAGTTCATGTTCATTGTTACAAAAAAAGAAACAATATGGCCAAGTGATCATCAGAACATGAACCAGGACATCCATGATCCAATTGAATTAATTCAAATTGTGTTCAAGCAACAGATGTTCAACAAGACACTCTGGCAAAAAACAACTATAACAAGGAGGAAGAGTTTAAAAACCAAACAGCTGCAGAACCAGAAGCTTTCAATAAACTTTGTAACAAAGAGAAGCAAAAGAATGAAGACCTTATGAAAGCTAAACCTTTACAATCAACCATCCACAGACAGACTGGATCTGTGCGCTGCATTGACACAGGCCAATCTGCTAAAAACAAGAAGCTTTAGATTAGCAAAGAATAATCGCATCAAATTAAAACAACAGCAACAAGAATCAATCAAAACAATCCTTAACTCCTTACCAAAACGATTGTCAACACCATTACCACAACCAAGATAATTGTTGGTCGCACGTAAATCAAAACAGCTACTCCTAAGTAAATTAAATCATCTGGAACCAAACAAAATTAAAAAAATTATTAGTAATCCACATAAGAATATAATTTCTGGGCAAAGATTCCATGTTCGCTGAACGAAGTCAAATGAGATAAACTATTTGCAAGAATTGATAATGACTGGCAGAAAAGAAACCATATTTGCTTTTTTTCACTGAAACCTGGTTTGATTAAACACTAGACACTTGACTTCCTGGAAGAGCTAGTTATGGTTATAAGATCGGCAGTTAGTAAGTGCAAAAATGAAATTGCAAACTGTTTTTTTCAAAATCAATTCAAACATCTTTATAACCAAGTCAGACAGAAGCAAATAGCGAATGAAATATTGAAGTCTCTGGAACAACAACTGAAATCTTACAAAATTCATTAAATTTTTTATTTAATCAACATATGTATTCAGTCTGTATTGTTGTTGAACCATTACATCAGATGCCTATCTTTGAGAACCGATCAGAAATGGAATATGTCCTGAGTGAAATAGAAATAACTACTATCTGCTCAGAAAAAGCTAGTAGAGTTTAATGAGACAAAGTCAAAAGGCTATTTTAACATACATCTATGTGTTCTTTGATACTATGCCACTGCAATAGCAGGCCAATAGCTATGATTTTTAAAAAACCACTGGCTAAAGGCAGAGTCCCTAACCTATGGAAGCAATCAAACAACTCCTATATTTAAAAATGAAAGTTGAAGAAAAATGCTCTAACAACAGGCCAGTTTTGCTCACATCAGCATGTAAAGTAAAGCTTTTAAAAAAATACCTCACCAACATTTTCTAAAACTTGAAGCATATGGCATACAGTGTACTCCTGTAGTAGATAACTGACTGGTTAAAAAAACAAAAACAGACAGTGGTTATTTACAACAGAAAGTCTGAGAGGCTAAATGTTACTAGCGGAGTTCCACAAGGTTCAGTTTTAGGCTCACTTCTGTTTCTAATTTATATAACTAACCTTCCAGACAACATGGCACATCATAGAAAGATCTAAATTGATGACAGTAAGTCAGCCAAATGGTCTAAGAAGTGGCTCATGTTTTTCAATCTCGACATATGTAAATTCATGCATGCTGGTAACTCAAATAAGTTAATGTGCCTTTATTCAATCATTGACATAGAGGATAATCAAATAAAATTTGGAACAAAAGTCATTCAACATGACCTAGGTGTTCTAACATTAAACTATCTAAAGATTAGGCCTCAAGTAGAAGCTGCAACAGTTAGATCAAACCAAGTACTTGGCAGACTAAAAAAAATCATATACATACATTAGATCTCATCTCGAGGATTCATGCCATCCAAGTGTCGTCTCCTCACTTAAGAAGAGACATAAAAACACTTGAATGCATTTAACTGTAAGGAAACAAAACAATAAGCAAGGTAAAGCACAAAAACTATGAGGATAGACTGCCCATACTTAATAAGCTAACCATTCTAGAAGAATGACAAAAAAGGGGCAAACTGATTTAGCAGTATAAAATCGAAAATGGAACAGAAAAAGTCAACTTCGTAGTTCTGCAAGTGTATCTCCAATTGCTATTGGAGTATAATCAGTTAGAACATAAACAACCACTAACACAGTAAATTGTGAAAACCTGCCAAGGACAGGATAATTTTTTTTACTAATTGAGTTAACAACTGGAATGAGCAATATAATCAATGCTAACTTAAGTAACATTTTTAAAAGTCAAATTAAAGCACTTTCAAAGCTAACCAGGATGTTGCCTGTTCCAAATTGTCATCATAATGGTACCTGATGCTGCACCAAATCATTAGAGTTTACAACTAAAACTTTATTTTTATATGATGGTTTTATTTGTACAATTTTTATTTATGAATAAAAAAATTCAATTAAAATACTATTTTATAAATTACTTTTGGCTTGAACTTTATTATTTACATAAAAGTTTCCAGATTTCACCTAAAAAGGTTTGCAATTACACAAGTGTTCATAAAACATTTGTACTTCACTTACAGTAGTTGGCGATTAAGCAATTTTTTCTAACTATTTCAAACAATTACTCTTTAATTAATCAGAATTAATTATTATCACAATTAGTCAGGATTTATATTTTGTCACAATTAGTCAGGATTTTTATTTTGTAAAAATGTATTGCACAATATTAAAACTGATTGAAATTTTATTCATTTAAACTAATTTTAATATTGAAATTCATTTTAAGTCAATTCTTGTAAATCTTTAATTTTGATATAAAAATAATATTTTTCAAAATACTATTCAAAAGAAAAATAATTTTTTAAACACAAAATGTTCATAATATAAAATTAATTATTAAGAATCTTTTTTCATAAAAATGCTTACACTCCTTTTTAAATCAAACCACTTAAAAAAAACAATTAAATAAAAAACACAATCTAATTCTTAAGTTACCATACATGTTTTTAAATCTTGATATTAATTAAAAAAATTAATGACATTACCTGAGCTCCACGACAAATAAAAATGAACACATTGACATAAGCGTGAGTTGTTGACATGGCATGCACGACTGGAGTTTTTTTGTAGTCATAAAGTGCTTCAAGTGGAACTTCTGTGGAAGCAAGTTCATGCAGCAGAGCAGAACCCTGACTTTCAGATTGAGTGTATATCAAGTTTAGTTTATCAATTTGAAAATTTAACTGTGTAAGGCCTTCTTTAAAAACTCTGGAATCTTGAGCTAGTAACTAAAAAATGAAAATTATTTATATAAAAAACGAAAAAAGTATTTAAAATAAAACAAACAAACAAACAAAAAACAAACAAACAAAAAACAAACAAACAATAAAATAGTCTATTATACTTATTATTAACTCTTTCACTACAGCAAGCCGCTGGTAGCGGCTTTTGAATTTCATTAAATTTGACCGCAAGTCGCTAGCTTTCTTTTTTTTTTTTTAACTGTAAAGCATACTCAAAAGCTGCAAGTGGCTTTCAAGTATGCTTTACAGTTTTTTGTTTTAAGTACAAAATATTTTTTCTAGACAAATTTAGTTTGTTTATTCCTAAAGCTTAATAAATTCTCTACTAAAATAGTACCAAATAAGAGCAATAACTTGAAATTTTAGAAAGTTATAACCTTTAAAAGTAAAAAAAAACACAAACAAAAATTTCGAAAAAAAAAATTCAACAATGTTAGTTCTATAACAAGGTAGCATTAGCATTTACACTGTTAAAGTAAACTCATAGAAGTCGTATAAGTATTTAGCTAAGTAATTACTAACGTCTTTTGTTTAAAAATATTTTTGTTATACATTAAATGAGTAATCTTTTGAAGTTAATATTTCTGTTGGAATTTACAAAAACAATTACTTTAAATGCTTTGTTTTTCTTATTGTTAAATGAAGCGTGTTAAAAACTCATTAAAAAGTTTATTTGTACAGCTTTCTATTGATATATAGTTTGTAACGTTTTTAAAGAGATTTACTATTTGAATTTCAATAAGTTTGTAATGTTATGTTATCCAAATTTTATGCAAAAAAAGTGCGGTCACGCCAAGAAGTTTTTCCAAAATACGGCTGGTAGCGAAAGAGGTAATACTGTTAAATGATGGAAAATACTTGTTTTTTAAACCCCATTATTGCCATCAACCCAGGTATTCCCTTGATAAAAATTTTAAATTGCCAAGACATTATTTTATTATAAAAGGTAGAAGGTAACAATTTATTCATAAAGCCTAAAGTTTATAGTTTAAATTATAAAAAGTTAACAGTTTAAATTATTACTTTGAATTTAAATTGCTTTAATTATATTGAAATATTGAAAAAAATGTTAAACTTAAATTACTTAAATGAATTTAAATCTAGATATGCATAAAAGAAAGATCAATGCAATTTATAAAAAAAAACTACAAGGTGCATAACGACTATGAAGATTGTTAACACCATATAGTAAAATAGCTCTAACAAGGCAGATAAATCAAAAAATGTGCATTCTTTTTTGATCAAATAAATTTATTTAAACATTTTTTTTCACCATAAGTGGTCTAAAAGTGTTTAGATTGATAAATGCTTTTGGACCATCATTTTTTCTTAATTAGACCCTTGCTAAGACATTTAAGAGAAAGAGAGACAAGAAAAAAAAAGGAGATTGAGACAAATAAAGAAAAAGAAAGAATATTAAAAAAAAAGTTTATACATTAACATATGCACGAAAGTCTTTTTCTACCTGCATATTTTTTGCATTTTACATATTTTCAACCAAGATATAGTTACCATCTTGAAATACTTATGTCAGGTTTTTTAAAAACTTGAATATTTCCCTTTTTATTTTCTATATAATTTAAAGTTAATTTTTTTTACTGTACCTTAAAATATTTATTTGACTAAAGCTGAAAACTAAAGCTTTACAAACTTAATTAGATATATTGTGTCTGTTTACTCTTTTTCTTTTATTTAGGCACCTAAATTGGCATCAAGAATCAAGTATTTGATTGGTATTAGTATCCAACTTTACTGACCTAACTAACACTGACACCACAACAATCTCATTACAAGATAACAGTATGCTTATTACTCAAAATAAACAAGTTGGAAAATTACTATAACATTTTAAAACTCTTTTATATTTCCTTATCTTTTAACAAACAAAATTTTAATAAAGTACTTACATTAATTGACTTGCATACTTGTGCAACAGATTGACAAGCAGGCATAAGTGGAAATTCTAAGGGAAAATTTGGCATACTGAGTAACATAAATAAAGGTTCAAGACCACCCAGTTTCACAAATTCCACACAATGATCATCTGTTCCATTATTGCTCAGAATGCTATCTAAAAACTTTGTCTTAAAAAAAAAAAAAAAAAAAAAAAAAACATTAAAATTTTTTCTCTTTTGTCAAAACAACTTTAATTTAATAAATTTAATTTAATCTAATTTAATTAAAAAAAAAATTATTTAAATTTAATAAATTTAATTTTTTCTTATTTATTTGACATTTAAGTGCCTTTAATTTGAATGGAAAAAAATTATAAAAAGTTTTCTGTAAACTTATCTAATTAGTTTAAACTCCTGACTATTTTTGTTAAATCATGATACAACAATTTTTACGAACTTTGTTGCTACTTATGTCACTTAATGTTACTTTTAACAAAATAAATCAATCCATACTGACATCAATCAATTACTGTCAAATCAATCAATAAATAATTTTATTATATATATATATATATTTTTCAAATAAATAAAACTTATTTTAAAACTTTTTAACAACATGTTTCATCAACATCAATTGACATCATCAGGTATCAATTGATATTGATAAAACATGTTGTTAAAAAGTTTTAAAATAATTGTTATTTATTTGAAAATTATTACTAAATTAGTGCTACTTAGAATATATATATATATATATATATATATATATATATATATATATATATATATATATATATATATATATATATATATATATATATATATATATACCTTGTACTTATGAAAACTTATGAACTATTGATTTTTTAAATTCGAAGTAGTTTTTTAACAAAAATATATATTCATAGTTTATATATTATATTTTCATTGGTTTTTTAGATTGATCATAGAAAGAAGGCCTAATGATTTTATTAAAAGCAAATTGATTAAAAAAATTGTTAAAATATAATCACTTAATTTTAGGATTTAGACCACAGAATTAAAACTCCTATTTTTTAATAACTTTTCTGTGATATTACAACTTGTTAAAAGCATTTTTAATTGTTTTAATAAAAAACCTTAACTTGTTTCAACATTAAAAAAATTATAAAAAATTCTTCTTATATTTGCTTCTTTATATTTGTTTTACTAATTTAAAATTTTTTATTGTTTCTTCTCCTGGTGTGTTTATCATAACTATACTTCAGTATAGTATATATTTCAACCTTCCGAATTAGGAAAAATGAGGTCGGTTTTAATCTTACTAAGGTCGGCATTAGGTTGGCAAAAATTATTTTATACTAAGGTCTGACCATAAAACAGGCTTGGTCAGGAAGGCATGCGATCGCACGTCATTATATAACTACGCAAATAATACTTTATTTTGACGATTTGATCACGGTTTTTAATGTTTTAAAAATGCGCTGAAAAAAAATTATTTTTAATTGTGTCAAAAATAAATAACTGAAACTTTCATCTTTAGTAACTAAATAAATAACTTGAAACTTTTATCTTTACTAACATTTTACTAAATAAATTTACTAAATAAATAACTTGAAACTTTAATCTTGAAACTTTTATTTTGCAATTTTAAATTTACTAAATAAATAACTTGAAACTTTTATCTTAAATAACATTTTTATATTAGTGAAATGCTTTTAAATAAAGTAACAGTTACTGTTAACGTTTTAATTTATAGTATAGATAAAAGTTGTATAAATTTTTATTTATATTAAATATATATGAGATTATATAGTCAATAAATAAAATAATAAGTTTTTTTTACAATTAATCTTATTTTTAAATTATTTAAATTTTATAAGCGACATGACTTTAAACAACGATTGTCTCTTTAATAAACTTTATTTAAGAATCGTTAAAGTTAATACACTTGAAAAGATTTTAGTGAGAAGAAAAAAAGACAAACCCTTGAATTAAAGACAGCCGTTTGAATTAAATAACTTTGATCTTTACTAATGTTTTTATATTATTAAAACGCTTTTAAATAAAATAACAATTCACTGCTAATGATTTTTTACATAAAGTATTAATGAATTTTCTTTCGTCTAAAATAAAATAAAAAAATCTATTAAAGTTAATATACTTGAAAAATAATTTTTTTTTTTTTTTGCAAAAATTAGTTAAATCAAGTTAAAAAAAAAAAAAATATATATATATATATATATATAAAAGTTTTAATTTTTTTTTATTTAGTCTTTAAATAAAAAAATTATCAATTAAAGTTAACAAATTAAATTATTAACAAATTAAATTAAATTTGTTCATTATTTCTTGTTTTTAATTTCAATTTTCCTCATTTTCTTTCTGATATTGGTTTTTTGACAAAAGAAACTATTAAATTATTTTTCTTTTGTTTACATTACTACAAAGAATTGTAAAGTTATATTATATTTTACTATTAATATAATTTTATATAATGCGGTAACAAAGCAGACAGAACACTATTAGTTTTAAATTATAAAAACAGTAAAGATTCAAGGTTACTTATTTCAAACGTAATTAATTTTATAATCTTATGGTTTATTATTTGTTTTAGATTAGTTTGGTTTTTATTTTTTTTTTAATATAATTTTTTAAGATTTTTTTTTTAGTTTCTTTACAACTAAGTTTTTATGGAAAATGCTAAAACTGTGGTCAAATCGTCAAAACAAAATATTATTTGCGTGGTCAGATAAAGCCATGAAATCGCATGCCTTCCTGACCAAGCCTGACCATATAACATAAAAACGAGGTCGGCAACTTTTTGCCGACCTTAAACACTTTTAGATTGGCAGTGCCAAATGCCGAACCTAATTCCAAGGGTTGATATTTTAATATTATTCAAGATCAAAAAAGTTTAGTCTTTTCCTTGAATAATGCTAAAATAGCTATCAACATGTAAATGAATGGTTTTATTTAGTAAAATAAGTAAATATTAGATTATAAAACTTGATAATATAAAAAAAAGTGCTAAAATTTCTTGTAAAAAAGCGACTTTATGGTAGACCATAATTAACTCCAGCAAAGTTTTTACTAAAGATTAATACATGTACTATTTGTAAATCTCCACAAAGTGCAATAACTATTTCAGAAATAAATATTGATTGATATAATTATTAGGTATTTAATGATTTTAACCAAAATCCAGGACGGTATTTGGCAATGCCGACCCAATAGCTGATATATCTTTGCTTTACTATGGCATACCATTACCAACCTGAATTTCTGAAAGTATCCACACGAAAAAGTAAATATATCTAAAGAATGTATCATTCATTCAATATGAGTTCATAATTTATTTTATCGTAATTTTTTTTTTAAATCAGACAAGTTTTATTAAAAAAAAAGTTATTTTATTTTTTATTTTTTATCAAATCAATCATGGTAAGATTAACAAGGTTATTAATTCATTCAAAAAACTACTTTTTTAATGTTCTCACACTCATAACAACTATAAAGTTAACATAACATAAACATATTTGCATGCAAATAACTTTAGGTTTAATTAAATCCTTCTGTGCCAAAATTAAACAAATTAGACACTAACTGAATAAAAACTTATTTGAAGACTCAACACTACTAAGCAAATTTTAAAACAAAAACGCATATAAATTTATAACAGTGTTGATTAAAAAAAAAATTTAGCGTTAGCTCAAATAATATAAATAAACCTCAGGTACCAGTAAAGCACCCTTTCTAAATTATTGATTAGTACTGACATATGACTTAAATTACTTAACTTTTAAAAATGTGTAATAGAACAATGATAAATATACATTATTTTTGGATTGACAGACTGTTTCAGTTGAGAAAAGTTAAGCATTAACAAAATAATTATAAAAAACAAACAAAAGTTCTGAAGCAACTTACGACATTCAGTAGATAATCGACAACAGGAACAAACTTCTTATGAGTCCTAAATAATGTAAATGAATATGTTTGTTTAATTTTATCAATTTCATTACAATATGTTATTAAGGTTTTTATGTTATATTTTATATTATACTTAAAAATAGTATATTATTTTATATTAAATATATTATTTACATTATATATTTATATTTTAAAAATTAAGCTCAATAATATTATTAAAAAAAAAAATTTTAATATAATAAAATAAATATTTTAATGATTAATTTAAATAACAATATTTTAAATAATGTTATTTAAACGTAACTTTCACGTCAAATTGGCAGAATATCTTTTAATAATTTAAATAACTTGAAATAATTTAAATGTATAAAATGCAAAAAACAGTTGAAAAAAGACTTAAAGTTAAAAAAGTTAAAAAAAGACTTAAATGTTGTAAGAGTGAGAAAAACACTGCACAATTAAAAGTTTTTACAGCATGAATGGTCAGATACAGTAAAAGGATCCAACATAGCTGAATGACAAGTCAAGCGAGAATGAAATTTGGTTGATGGAACTAGAGATAATAGCTTGTTTGAGGAGTAACCATGATAGTATTTGCAAAAAAAGAAAAGAAAAAAAAAAGATGCAAATTTATAACAAAGGGAGAATGGCTTAGACTTGCCAGATAAAGCAGGTCCAATTACATTTACAATTTATTTTTTTAACTTGTCTAGAAGAGAAAGAGTTTCTTTAAAAGAACCAGCTCAAATAAAAGGAAGAATTGGAATCAAGATTAAGATAATGGTGAAGAAGATAAAGAGAAGCCACCAACAGATTTTCCAAATGTCTCTAGAGCCTAACTTCTGAAATATGATACAAGATTTTGTAAATTATGAATAATGGAGCTTAGAATCAGAGATTTGGTCAAATGAGAAAGATAAAAATGATTAAGATTAGATATAGCAGCTGCACAAGAAGGTGAAAACCTTGAAGTAGAATAGGGCTTGACTTGAAACCAATGAGAAGGACCAAAATCATCCATACCTGTATGAATCCAGGAGGTTATGTAGGAGGCACAAATATCAGCGGAGAGAGAAAAGACATCAGCACAAAAACTGTTACAATAAAAATCACTAAAAGAATCCCAGAAAGCCTTTGGATAGTAGTAATTAATGAAATTATAGGGCAAATCTAAAGAAGTACATTGTTTATAAAGATCATTGTAGCGCTTGTGATGAATTGGGAGCGATCACTCACGACATATGAAACGCGGCAGAAGAACTTCTGGGCGCGACAAATAGCGCTCGCTAGTTTTGTTATGAGAGTGAAAAATCATGCTCACTTATTTGGTTGATCTATTAGCGCTATTTGTCACACCCAGAAGTTCATTTACAGGCGTGTTTCACATGTCGGGAGCAATTGCTCCCAATTCATTGCAAGACCTGCATTGCATGGTCGGAACCACCAAAAAGAGAACAAGCAACTAAAGGAACACATGTTTGGATCAGAGACAAGACATAAATTTAGAAATGAAAATAAATGATTGGGGAAATGTCTGGAAAATAAGTTAACTATTTGAGCAAGAGATTGATATGAGAGCTGCAGAAATTATGTCCCAACATCGAAACTTTGCTTTAGAGCAGAGTCAGTAGTGTTAGAGTCAAGCTATTCAGTGTAATGAGTATAAGTCACCATTAATAACAATATTAGCAAAAAGATGAAGAGATTGGGTTTGGTCGATTTGATCAGAAATTATATATAAAAGAGCGCAGTGAGAAGAAGGAGAATGTTTAAGAAAAAAGAGAAAGGTAATTAGTGAAAGGTACTTAGCAGAAGCACATCTGACCATTCTAGTCAGAGAATTCAATCCTGATTTTTGAACAAATAGGTGAAATGATGCGTAAGTATATGCCCAGGCCAAGCATTGTTGGAGTCTTTGCAAATTAAAGGATAATAGCGATTAATAATGAAGTTCAAAGAAGAAACTGAATCCTCACAAAGAGCAAGTAAGTCTGGTGAACTTTGTAAGAGGTAAGATTCAGCTGATAAAAAGGTACTTTGATGAATACAAATATTTTAAAAAGAAATATTGAAACAGTTAGGTGGCAGGGATGGTTTTTAATGTTTAAATTTTTTTTTGTTACAATAGTCATGGCTTAAGCTATAGAGAACTTAAATCATTCGTATATAGAGCATGGCATCCCAACCAATAAACTTTGCAGTTGCCACAGTCTATACACACAAACATATACAGGGGCAAACCTAGAGTTTATTTGGGAATACCACTTTTTTTTGGCAACATTGGGGGATGTGTGTATGTGGGGGTGGGTAGAGGGGGATGATGTTCTTAAGATCTTGCCTCCTTCCCTAGTTAATACCGGTGCCGCGACGATGCTTTATAATCATCATTTTAATCACTTGTGTTTATCTTGTTAAGTTTTATCCGATAGATAAGGAGTTGATTTAAAGACATTACTTTAAATACATACATACAAACATAACCATGTTACTTTAGTTACAATGAGAAAACTATTTTACTTAAGAATTTAACCATGCTATTTGTAAATAATTATTGAAAATTATTCAAAGTATTTTAATAATTTATCAACTATACTTTAGTGAATTTAATTTTAGTAGTTAATGTTTTAAATAATAAGTAATTAAGTTTTTAAATACTTTATACAATTTTTAATCAATATTCACATTATATAATATGTAATTGTATAATATTTAAAAAATTAACGAAATAGTTTTACGTCTAGTATTTGAATAACTATTTGAATAAAAAACATAAACATTTAATAAACGTATTTAATATTATTTTAATTTTAAAATTTTGATTAAAATATTAACAAATCTGTATATTTAACTTTTACTAAAGGTTAATAACTTTTAAAGTGACTAAAGGTATTTACCTTTTAACCTTTTATACCTAAAGGTATTTACCTTTAACTTTTAAAGGTTAATAACTTTTAAAGTTTTTAAGGTGCCTAATAAATTAAAGATGATTTAAGAAGAGATAACTACAGTGAAAATAATTTTAAAAATGTTATATTTTTTCAATTAAAAAACATATTTATTATTTATTTTTTTTTAATTTTATTTAAAAAAAAAAAAAATTTTAATACTTTATAAAATTTCAAATTTTATTAAATATTAAAAAAATTACATTTAATAAATAAGTTATATTCATTCAAACATTGGAGGTAATAAACATCATTTATTCACTGATAAGAAATATTTAAATCGAATTCGTGAAGGCTTTTTTACAAATCGCACAGTTAAGTTCTGGAACAACTTACCAATTGAAACAGTGGAAGTTAAAAATCTCAAATTATTTAAAGCTAAACTAGACTTAATTGACTATATTTAACTTTCTTGTTATGTCTGTAAAAGATTTAACAACTCAACAGTATTGTATATATATATATATATATATATATATATATATATATATATATATATATATATATATATATATATATATATACACACATATATATATATATATATACACACATATATATATATATATATACATACTATGGATATTTTTATAACATTAAATATAAGATCCGAATAAGACATTTATTAAGTTAATATAATTGTATTTTATTATTTTTAAAGTCAAAAAGAATATGAAAAAGAATCAAAACTTTCTGAAAAAGTTAATTTTTTGTTTTTTCCTTTTCCTCATGTAAACTAATATAGCAAGCTAAAGATCAAAAGTTTAAGCATTCAAAAATTAAATTTGTGTCATATTTTAATGAAAACTGCATTATTAAGACCGAAATTTTTTACTTTTGTTTATTTGTTTGAAGTTTTTTAGAAAGCAGTCACTTTTCACTGTTTTCACAATTCAGACAGCTTTCACAATTGACAACAAACAAAAGCTAACTTTACTCTGAATGAATATTTTTAAATCTTTTGAAAAAGAAAACTTTCTATTCATTCTATTGTCATAAAATTTTGTAACAAGTTTTTAATATTAAGTTTCATAAAGTCATTAATTTTTATAAAACTTAGTAACCGAAGGACAGTTACATCACATAATTACATGAAAAAAGCAGTTGCTTTTTAACTTATTTTATCTTCCTGAAAAAAAAAAAAAAAAGAGAAAATATATGTGAAGATTATTTATATACTACTGTATTTAAATTAGGGATGTACCGAAGCATCGGCTTCGGCTTCGGTTTGCTGAAGCTTCGGTTCGGCCGAAGCCATGGGCGTTTTTTGCCGAATCATTGGCTTCGGCAAAAAAATGGACATTACTAAGCTGGCATTCGACTGAGGAAGACATTTTTTAAACGTTCACACGTTGTCTGTTTTCCGAATAAAACGTAGTTGAACGTTCAAAATTCTTTTTTTTCTTTTCTTCTTCTGAGAAATTTAAATAAGCCTCTGATTTATACAGTTGCGAAGATTAAATGAATCCAGCAACGGCTTTTGGAGGTGGCAAGGCCGCGTGTAGGGCGGCCAAAAACGGCACGATAGCGGATAGAAAGTAAAGTTACTTAATGAAACATATTGATTTTTTTATAATCACTCAATATAAGCTGATTTAAACTGTAACATTATATTAAACTTTATATAACTAAATACCATAACCCTAATATTCAGTTATGATCACTCGAGCTTACCAATAAAATTTATTTATGCATTAGTTGGTAGTAAAATAATGAAAAATTATTAAAATTTAATTTTTTTAGCATTTAGTTATTAGTTAGCATCAACTTCTAAAATCCGAGTTATGTTAAATTATATATTTTTTAATATTAAATTAAAATTAAAAATTAAACCTGGAAATAAATCTTCATTTAAAATTACTTAGATGTAACTAAAACATAGCGCACGAGAGTTAAGAGAGTTTACTATTCTCGAAATTTTTAAAAATCTATACAATAAGTTAATTTTAACGCACGAAACAATTTTTATTCAGAAAGTTTGTTTTACTAAGTCACAGACAGAACACAGAAAGACACTACACAGAAAGACACTACACAGAAAAGACACTACACAGAAAAGACACTACACAGAAAAGCACAATTGAAATGTAAGTCAATT